AGGCAGCGAGGGGTGATGGGGTGCCGCTGCTCCCGTCCTCGGGGAGGGGGGGGGCGCTGCGGGGGGGCTTAGCTGGGACCGAGGGAGGGACAGCAGGCGCTGGGGAGCTTAACGGTGAGGTGCGAGGAGCGGCAGGACTCTGTCCGGCTACTAAATAGCTTGGAAAGTTCTCTCGGAAAAGTCACCCACCGGTGCTGTTAGGCTGACTTCCCTCTTCCTGAGCTCCCCGAAATAGGACAATTGTCATCCAGTGTCAGGGAATCTTCCCTTCCCTTCTGATGTTGCTGTTTTTTTCCAGCGGGAGGCAGAGCCGGATATTCCCATTGTAGCTCAGCTCCGCTCCCACCCCGGCTTGCTTGGCTCCAATAGAAATCCCAAAAGCTGGATGATAGGGCTTGAAGACAACTCCCACAAACAAGAAGATGCCGTAGCACAATGCTCTGGGGTTGGCTGGATATAATACACAATTAAAACCTTAAAAACTCTGGAAATTCGGGGAGGAAAAGAAAAAAAAATCAAGCAGCCAAAATTAGACTGACTGGTATAATAATATAGTCCTCCTGTTAGAGAAATGCAATAGTACTTCAGGCTGAAGTGGTTTGAAAAGTGCTACAAGCTCTGAGGGCCAGTCTTTGATTTCATGCTGCCCTTCTGTTTAGCATGAGTCCCTCACATTGTTTTCTGACTGCATTGACTTCTGTCATAAGTAACACTTTCATGTCGTAAATAAAACGATTCTTGAAGAGTTGCCCAGTCAGAAGACTAGTCTACGCATTTAGCCGGCAGTACATCAGTGTGTTTTGGACTCTTTAAGTTCTTATTTGTGTATAGATTTTTTTTCTTTTTCAATAAAAGTTACCAGAGAGTGTTAAGTAAAAGAAAAAAAACAAAACACCCAAACCAAACCTTCTAGTCTTAACAGAAAAGGGAAAGGTGGGAAGTAATTTATAGGTTTTTAACATATTTCACCTGTAACTCAAAGCTAACCGTTTTAAAAAAATACTCTGTTCATAATTTAATTTGAAAACATGTTTGGGTAATATAGTACTCATTTGTTGTACAGCTGTGAATGGAACAGATTTTAATAGATAATGACATATTATAAGAGTTGCAGCATTGAAGTAAGCTGTTTAACCTTTCATTGCTTACTGTTGCTTTGGTGTTGAAGATACTATTTGATTTTTATATTCTTCTGTATTGTTAGTCATTCTTAGCATTTACTGGTTAAATAAATTGCCATTATACTCTCTAGAAATTAAAAGCTGTATTGAAAGTAGTTAAAACTCTGACTTGACAATGTATTGCATTGTGCGGTCAATGTCATATTTGTTTCTCCCACAATTGTATCTGGCTGTCTATTTGCAGTTGTGTCGTGGACCTAGTAGGGTCTCCTGTAGATAGAAGTTTAAATGGGTGTTTCTTAGTAGTTGGAGAAGAGAGGCCAAAGACTGAATTGGCAGGGGTGTAATCTTCCCTTTCACCAGATCTTCCTCAGTGAGGAGCTTTGCACCATGTCTGTCTTAAATGTTTTTTTCCCCTATGGGTAGCATTAAATGCTGCATATATCATTATAGCATCAAACAGCTCATAACTCCATCAGAGAAGGTGTGATAAACAGGAAGACACTTCGATACAGTCAGTGTGGGGTTAGCTGTTGGGTAGGGAATGTAGTTTGGAGAGGAAGGTAGGATCAGAAATGTGGACAGCCTCCTGCCCATGGGAGAAGCTCATCTGGTGCTGAAACACAGATGTTTGTACGAAGGTGAGAGGCGAAACCCAGGGGTTAATGCGGGAAAAAACTGTGAAGTAATTCCATCTACTCAGCCTTTGTGGGGTGTAACAGATGGGATGGGGAGGCAGAGGCCAGTCTTGTGGTATTTAACCCCAAAGGTGATAGGCCATTGGTTCCTTGTACTGTGTTGCCACAGGTGAGGTCAACAAAAGCATTTCCACATGGATTTTTGTATTTTATAATGGGAAGGGGAAGGGATTGGCTATTCTCTGTGAAGGCTCTGACATGAGAACCTGCTTTCTAGCCTTTACCAAAATTGTACAAATGTAATGACTTTGGAAGGCTTAAAGTAACCTTGATAGACACTGAAAGGTTTAAAGCTCTCAGTGGGGTTAAAGGCCTGCTCTTTCTGTTCCAGCTTCTTGTACCACTGTCATATTGTGGTCACACAAACCTCTCACCCTCCCTATACACACACACACACACACACACGGATTGTAGTACTCTATGTGTACAATTGCAGTTCCAGCCAAAAATATTACTTTGCTTTTTAAGAGTCCCAAAGTTTGAAAAGCTGTAGGCACAGGCTAGAACTAGAG